CTCATTGGTGTCCCATTCACAAAATAAGATGTCGAATAAAAGAGAAAAAAAACAAAAACGATAAAAGAAAAGGGTAAAGGCAAATACCATAGGCCGTGTGCATGTTCCCCCAATAGTCTCTCTGGGTCGGTGGATCAAAAGCACTCATATGGAACCAAAACTGTCACATTACTTTCCAATTTACATCTTTACCCTTGAATTTTTCTTTAAGTTAACGATTTAATTATTTCCTTCATAATAATAATAATAATTATTATTATTATTTATAATTAAATGTATCTAATTCATTCAATTAAAACTAATAACTTGTACATGTTTGTAAACTTTCAAACCAAACTCTCCCTAAGAAATTGATCATTCTAAAACAAACTCTTTCTTTGACATCTAATTTCAGATCTAGATTCATGATCAAGCATATTCTCTATGCTGATCACCAGCACTTTTGCCAATTGCATGGCCGCAAAGCAAAGTTGAGAAGATGCTTGCCGTGCGACATGAAATTTGAACCGTACCCGCTATGCCTAACTTCCCAAAAAAAGAACCTCATCAAGCCCATCTTTTTTGGGGTGAATGAATTTAATTGTCTTGAAACATCATGAAATAGTTTGTGATTTTTCATATCAATAAATCAAAGATTAAGAATATGTTATGTCTATTTATGAGATATTATTTATTTTAATCGTTGATATATAATTTTATCCAACCATTAGCATCGTGGTTGTATTCTTGGTTGAAGGAGACAAACATTAATGTTGAAAATTGTGATGTATCACCAGTCGCACTTATTCACCTAAAAAATTCTCTTTTCATACTAAACAAATATAGTATCTCTAACAGAAATTCAAGAATCAAGCATACAACATGCCATCCTTGACCTAATTCAAAGAACACATGCTTCAAGTTTCATTTCTAAATTTTATAACTACCATGTTTCCTGGAGTTCTTGGGCGCAAATTCATAAGAAAACCCAAGAGTGCATTTGATACCCTACCTACCAATAATTTGATTAAACATTCATTATGTTATTATATATACTCTTAATTGAATAACCATGTCATTATTACACCCTCAAAAATTAATTGTTCTCCAAGTACTTCATAATCATTATTATCCTCCAATTATTTTACCATGTTAAGGCTAGTATGGAAAAATCAATTTTTTCTTTAAATAACATGGGTGATTAAAGCTCTATCCCCACTAATATTAATCAAACATGGTTTT